ACATCCCCACCAACAGTGTATGAAGCTTCCATTTTCTTCATATCTTCAGCAGCACTTACTATTTCTGGTCTTTCTGACATGGGCCGTTGTCACTGGTCTGAGTTGGTATCTGATTGTGGCTTCAATTTGCATTTCCCTGACTATAAGTGACAACATTTTTTTCAAGGGCCTGTTGTTCATCTGTAGTCCTTTGGAGAAGGGTCTGTTTAGCTCCTCTTCCCATTTTTGATTGGAGTCGGTTTTTTTTTGCTGAGTTGTATGAGTTCTTTGTAGATCTTATCAGTTCCTTGTCAGATGGATGGTGTGCAGATATTTTCTCCCATTTAGTGGGGTGTCTCTTTGTTTTTGTTATTTGCTTTTTAAAAAAAAAAATATTTTGTAACCCAGAGGTGAGGGGGCCTGAGAGGATTCACCAGAGACAGAGTGGGGAGCAGAACAGGTGGATTTACTGAAATCTGCTGAGGGGAGCAGCGGGCGAGACAGGAGAGCTCCCTGGCCAGGGATTGAACCCAGGACTTAGGGATAATACCCCTGGGACTTAACCCCTAAGCCACCAAGGAGGCCCGGGTATCTCTTTGTTTAGTTATGGTCTCTTGCTGTGCGGAAGCTTTTTATTTTGGTGTAGTCCCAGTTGTTTATATTTCTAGTTCCAAATGTTTATACTCTCTTTTGTTTATACCCTTTCCTTCCTGCGTGGGATGAATCCACAAAGATATCTCTGAAGTTTATATCCCGGAGTTTGCCTATATTTTCTTTTAACCTGAGTTTTGTAATCTGAAATAGAGGGGGCTCAACTCAACACCGCTTAGCCCTAATGTTTTAAATATAGTTTTGTGTAGTCACTGCCATGGTGAAGCATTCCAGAATGTGTATGTGTTAAGGAGACCAAAAGAAATTTCTTTTCCAGTCCTCTTTTCCTTCTCCCATGAGAGGTAATAGTCACACGAATGTATCGTTCATATGTCGTACTGAACTATACACATAGTTACTCTGAGATAAAGACAGTTACCCTCCATTGGCAAGTCCCCTGGTCCCCTGCCCCCTTCCTCTCCTGGCCCTGCTGACACTAACTCTTGGTGCCTCAGTCCCACCACCTTGGCTTTCCTTCCCTGCCCACCATGCTGCCCTCTTTCCCACTCTAGTCCTCTCATTTTCTCTTCCCCATCAGCTGAGGACAAATTCAGCTTTCAGGGTTCAGCTTAGACATCGTTTCTTCAGAGAAGCACATCTGCCTGCCCTGTTGGCCCATTTCTCATCCCATCAACACACACTGAAGCCTGCTTTCATTGACACTCATTCCTTTGTCATTGCCACCAATCCTTGAGGTCAGGGCACTAGACGATCTTTTTCATGTTTTCTAGACTTGGCCAGAATGATGCAATAGCTTTATAAATGATCTGTAGAGTGGGCCTCCCCTGGTGGCGCAGGCGGTTGAATGCCGCGCTGTGAAGCTGTCCGCAGCCTCTATAGCGCAGGTTCGATCCAGGCCGGCCTGCGAGGGTCCCACATGCTGAGGCAGACCTCTCCTGCCACGCCCGCTGCTCCCCTCAGCAGTGTGTTTCGTCAGTCTGCCTGTTCTGTTTCTGGCTCTGTCTCTGGTGAATCCTCCCGCGCATCTGTCTCTGGTGAATCCCCTCCCGCGCATCAGACCTGTACCCCAGTTCTTGTATAAAAATAAATCAATCTTTAAAAAAACAAATGATCTATATAGTTAAAAAAAAAAAAGCTGGTACTTTAGTTGGGGAGAAAAAAATGTATATGAATAGTTAGCATACAATAGACAACATAAAGTAATCTGCAAAGTAGGGGGTATCCCAAGAACTTTACATATACACATCTTCAACTTAAGAGCTTACATCCAGATAAATCCATCATTTGAATATATCCTCAGTTGAAAACATTGGCAACAGTACACTGTAGAGTGTGGGTTGTTTAATCTCTAGATGGTCTGGTTGGGAGCTGTACTTGCTGCTGCTGCCCAGCATCAGACTACCTGCTGCATATGGTTAATCCAGGGAAAGTTCAAAGGTCCAAATTTGAAGTGTAGTTTCTACTGACTATGTCTCACTTTCACATCATTTTAAAGTTGAAAAGTCATGTCAAACCATTGTAAGTCAGGGAAAATCTGTATTAACTTTGTCTTCCTAATAACACTGTAAGGTAAATATTGTTATTACCCTTTTTTATAGATAAGGAAAATAAGTCACAAAGAAGTTATTTTTGTTAAACTATGCTTTTAGAAAGCCTAGGTTCTCACCTAGCCCAATAAATGTTTCCCCACTTGTTTTCTTGCCCTCTACAGTCTATTCTCCATCCAGCAACAAGAGTGATTGTTTCAAAGAGTACATCAGATTAGGTCACACACATGCATAAAGTCCTCAGTGGCCTCCCATTCCACTTAGAACAGTGTTCAAATCTCTTATTGTGACCTCAAGGTATGCTGGTGTCCTTTCTTTTTCTAAAGTTACCTCTTGGACCCATGGGTATGATTTTCCCTCCATAAGTGCTGGACAGTCAACATCCCCACCAACAGAATATGACGCTTCCATTTTTTTCATATCCTCAGCAGCACTTACTTTTCTGGTCTTTCTGATGTGGGCAGTTCTCCCTGGTATGAGTTGGTATCTCATGGTGGCTTTAATTTGCATTTCCCTGATTATAAGTGACAATGAAAAATTTTTTCAAGGGCCTATTGTTCATCTGTAATTCTTTGGAGAAGTGTCTGTTTAGCTTCTCTGCCCATTATTTATTTTTTTTAATTGAGTTATAGCAATAAATGGAAGTATTCTCCTCTGAGGACTTTTCCTGCATGCTCCTGCACATGCTCAGCAAATCTTCATGTGCTGCCTGCTTCTTAAAAGCTGGTTTCAGTTTAAGCATCTTATGTCCATGCTTTTTAAGGAAGTTCATGCCCTGTCACTAATCCATATTCCTCATTCAGTTTTCTGTAAAGAATGTTTTCAACAGAATGTATCTATTCATTCAGTAATTCATTTCTTGTCTGTTTCCACCTACTCCAAGGTAAACTCCATCAGGTACAGGGACAGCCAATCCTCAGCACCTAGGATAATACCCCCACCCCTTCCACATCTCCAGGCAGCGTCTCAGCAAGTCTCTGTTGAAGAGAATAAAATGAACTGTAAATGGCCCTGTAGACATTGGGTGGGAGAAGTTCAAGAAAAGGAGCTAGCACTGTGTGCCATCATGGGAAAGAAGGCTCTGCAAAGGAGAGGTATTGGAACTGGACAAGGTTTGGGGGGACTGACAGTGGAAGAAGTCACTGACAGCCATGAGCATTTTTGAGTCAAGCAGCTCTGAGCAAAGACATGTCAAGGATGCTTGACACATGCACTATGTGGTCCTTTAAAGAGCCCACTGAAGTTTGTTCATAACAAAAAAAGATGTTGCCAGTAGAGATTGTATTTGGAAGCTATGGAATGTCAGGTAGAGAAATCTGGGCCCAGAGCTGATTTCAAAGGAGAACCTTGATACATTTTGACCAAGGAATGTCATGTTGGAAGTGATGCTTTAGAAAATTAATCTTTTGAAGACATACTCTCCATTTTGCCTCTTGCACCATTTTTCTTCTGAAACCGAAAAATCCCTTCATTACTTACCTCTGCCTCTTTCTAGAGTTTCCTCAAATGTTTTTCATTTTCAGGGTGTCTGAGCATATTCACACACTTCATTACTCAAGACACTTGGCTTTGTGTGTATATATGAAAAATGTGCAACCATGAATCTGATAGATGACTCCAACAATTAGTTGCATGTTGAAATTTTATGTTTGTATGTATGACTGTTATATTTCTAAGACAAATCTCAGGAGGAAGCAGGTAGTGCTATTTTATGGCTGTCTATAAGTGATTAGTCATATCTTACAGGTATATGTTATAGGCATTCTTTATAGATAAAGCTCTCTCTTGGGTATTTAAATAGCTAAATCTATTCTCTGCTATCCAGACACTGTGTACTGAATTCTGTTCTATAGCAGATAAATCCGAGGGAGGGTCCAGTTTATATGGTTTTGGGGAAAGGAAAGAGCTTTACCATTTATCTGTTCTTACAGTGATCAAAGAAACAGCTGCCACCCTTCTAGGTTTGTTCCCTCAAGGGCTGATAAAGCTATTATTACAGCTTCCTTTTATTGGACTAAGAATTCTAATGCAACCCAGATCCTTCTATTTCACATAACTAAGATAAAAGAAGACAATACTGACATTCAATTTGCTTACAGTACTTCACAAATCAATTTTATTAATTTAAACACAAAATTAATGAAGAAAAATTCTGTACACAATTGTGGACACAACACACCTTTATACAGTAAGGCCAAGATAAACTTTGTCTTTTCAGTCTACAGAGTATAAAAACATAAAAGGTTAAAAAATTGTCAACTTCTGGTTGCTTTGAGCCAAAAAAAAATTCAATTATAAATTTAAATAATTTGGAGAATTCACAACTAATTCTAGCAGCAACGTGAAATGGATAGAGTAGCTCTTTAGCTACTTTGGGTCAAAGCTGGTGTTTTTTCCCAATGAAATATTTAAGGAAAATTCATCCAAAGAGTTATTTCATGACAATGGAGAGCTTTTGATGAAAAGCTTATGCTATAGCAAAGGTGACAATTTTTATTTCCTAGATTTATGCTTTCCATGTAATACATACAGGTGGGGAGTAACAAGATTTTCTTGGTGGTACTGACTGGGCCATGTCCGTTGTGGGCAATGAACTTTTCTGGGATAGTGGGAGCAGGTGTGGTAGAAAAGAAAGACCATGAATATTGTTAAGTAATGCCAAGTTTTGCTGATTTCTAGATATGTGGTAAGGTCCTCTTCACCTAAACAAGAAAAGGCAGATACTATAATCTGTGCACATGAAAACTGCTAGTCTCCAATTCATGAATCATTTTATTAATAAAATATATCATCATTTTTTTTCTGTGGGAAGAAGCATTTGAATAATCATTTTTCTCCAAGGAGTTACATATAATACATTAGTGTTAAAAATGAAAAAAAGTGAGGTTGTAAGAGGACTCTTTATATTCAAATTATTTAAGACACTGCTGTGTTATTTCAACAAGTTCCTCCTAATAGCATAAAAAGACTGATAGGGAAAAAAATTTGGAGAACAAGTTCCTATTGACACTTGACATCCATGCTTTTGGTCTTGACAACATTACCTAAAAAAAAAATCCAGTATCTACATATTTATATCACGTACTTCAATAAGGCACTGCACATGCATTTGTGCACATATTGCCTCATACTTCACTATCAAGGTATTGCTACCTTTCAATATCATTTCCCAAAACAATATGTAAAAGAATCATCCATTATTACAAATTTACACCAAAAATTCTTTCTGTACATGATTGTCTCAGTGATGTACATATTATACGTTTAAATTAGACATACTTTAAACTACTTTGCAATGTGCTAAAATTCAAAGTACTTGCTGTGTCTTGAGGCAAAGGCCATTAATTGCTTATTATGCCATTGTCTTTATTTGATGTCAAAAAGTCTATTTGAATGAATTATACCTCAATAAAGCTGTTTTTCTTTAAGTCTGTTCATAAATAAGTAGAGATGTAGAGATTACCCTGGGTATGAGACACCATAAAGTAAACCTTCTTACAAGAAAATTCCCCCACTGGTATTCAGGAAACATATTTCAGTCTCTGTTGTGCAATCAAGTTTACTGTATTGGAGAAGATGTTTATGTCACATTGACGATGCTAAAAACTTAAGTGTTTGCAGGTCCTTTCATCACAGGTTTGAACCATGTAGTAAATGTGGCAAAGACACATTACACTGTGCTAGAACATTCTCATGGCTTATTTTTCATTTGATTCACAGTACTAGAGTCAACAGCTGTTCTGAGAAAAAGATGCGGTCCTTCATTTACCACAAGGGCAGAGGTGAAGACCCACAGCAGCTGCGCGTCGTCACTATATTGAAATCGCTAAGTTCTGTAGTCCGGTGCTGACACAAGACTCAGACCTGCTGGATTTATCCCTGATTACAGGGCAGTTATGCAGTTTCAAAGTGCTATGTGGCTGTTACAGGTACTCCAGTTCCAAGGCGTGATGTAGGGCCATGAGGTCCGAGTGACTGGAGATCCTCCAGAAGGGCATGGCGTGCTGCAAAAGGAGCAGACACAGGTGAGGACAGGTAATGCTGTGGCACCAGCCTTACTCAGGCTTTTGAAATCTACTACCATGCTCACTCCCTTCTTGCAACATTGGGAAGTCTGGGCAGTTAAGATCTCAACACCACCTATCTTTGAAACAAAAATTCACTTTCTTCCTTAAGAATACTACACTGTATTTAAAAACGTAAAGTGAAGTCTTGCTTTTTTTTTTTTTTTAAAGATTTATTATTTATTTATTTGTTTGTTTGTTTATACATACAAGCACTGGGTACAGTCAGAAGTGCGGGAAGGTGAGAGAATTCACCAGAGCCGGGAGCAGAGCAGGCAGAAGGACCGAAGTACACTGCTGAGGGGAGCAGTGGGTGGCAGGAGAGGTCTGCGCGCCATGTGGGACCCTCCTTTGGTGGCCAGGGAGCAGCCGGGGATTGAACTGGTGCTGCAGAGGCTGCGGGCAGCTTCGCAACCCAGCGCTCAACCGCTGCGCCACCGGGGAGGCCCGTGAAGTCTTGCTTTTAAGAAGGTGATGGATTTTTCTTAACAATGCATCTATACTGTGACTTGAATGCAATTCCAAACTTAAACAGTTGCCTTTCAAAATATGTATGCAATAATGCTGAAGGTTAAAGTTTTCCTTAGTTGATACTAGTTTGCATTTTTCAGAACTTAATTTTGCTCATGTATGAAACAAAATATTTTTCACTCATACTAAGCATTCTTTGATCTTAAAATAACTCGTTTTAACAATTTTAATTTTTAAATGTACCTCTAGGGTGCATTTCTTTTTTATGCATACAAGAGCTAGGGTACAGGCCAGAGGTTGGGGGTGGGGTTGAGAGGATTCACCAGAGACAGAGTGGGGAACACAGCAGGCAGAATGACCGAAGTACACTGCTGAGGGGAGCAGCTGGCGAGTCAGCAGAGGTTTGCTGAGCCATGTGGGTAGCTCCCTGGCCGGCTGGGGATCGAACTCATGCTGCAGAGGTTGTAGATTGCTTCACAGTGTGATGCTTAACTCCTTGCACCACCAGGGAGTTCCCCTACAGTGCATTTCTTTTTGTAATTGTCTAAGGACTCAATCTAAAAACCTAATTTAGAATTAGGGGATGTTTGTGAAATATCTGAACTAATCAGACAAGAAAAACAGGAAAACGTTACCTCATCCATGACAAAACTTTCATTGCTCAAAAGCACTAAAGTACTTATGCATCAGTAAAATCTTTTTCTTAAAAGAATCTTCATCTCTCAAGGAATAAAAGTAATTTTGGTTTATTTGGATTAGCTGTAGGTAACATGAATGCTACTATTTTGCTATAGATCACATAGCTGACTGTATTGGGGATGCACATTATTACTATATTCACAGCACCTTTGCTGCAAGTAATCTAAATGCATATACCATTGTCCAAACTCAAATGGCTTCTATAGTGTTATGGAATATGTCTATCTTTGTTATCCTTCAGTAACAAGATAGTCCAGAACTAGAGATTTCATTTTAAGTGTTTATAAGGTTGAGTCACTGGCAATTTTACACTAGAAGAAAGGGTTTTACTATTTTGTACTCACTCATGAATGTTTTCACTTTGCAGGCATGGTGTCTAATATGTCCCTGGCCTACCTTCTCAGTCTGTGGGTGAGTAGCAGAAATGCATAACAATCACAACTATGTATTATAATAGGAGGGTGAGGAGTGAATTCTCTTTGAGTGAGGAACTGCATAAAAAGAGGAGGTCATAATTTAGTGAGGTATGAAAGAATGACCACTCAAATGAGCAGTCTCATGGCAGTGGTTTTGTTTTGGGGCGAGAGGATCAAGGAGAAACTCATTGAAAAGATACTGGTTGTGTGTGAGAGACAAGGCTGATGACAAATGATACAGGGCCTGCTAAAGAGTTTATTAATAATAATGATAGTTATGGTTTATTGAACATTATGTCAGAAACTATCAGTTAAGCCACTATAACTTCAGAGATAGGTGTTATCGCTAATTTGTTGGTGAAAACATTAAGGTTAGCGAGTGGAGAGAGAAGGTCAGATGTAAAGCTCATGTGCTATAATGCTTCCTAATTGTTCAAGGCTTTTTCATTCAGCAATGTAAATTATTAGCACCATGTCACAAAGCTTAAAACACTCACATGATCCCTTCCAAGCAGAAAGCTTTTCTTGTTAGAATAGAAATGGTTTAGTAAAACAGTCATAAAATATAAAACTTCATAAAGAAGTACAAATCACGTCTAATCCTACTATCTCAATGCCATCCACAAGTTTCCATATTTCATGTATGTATCATTCAGCATCCTGATTGAGTCCATTTTGGACACATCTTCTTACCTAAATCATTTTAGAAGATTTTGAATGTTAATTATTTTATATTTAAGCACCTACTTGTATGTTTTCTCTAATTTGCCAGAGATTCATTACTCTTCCCCAAAGTTGCTTTTCATGAACTGAATAAAGGGAGCTGGAAGTTCTATTGAGAATGCAGAAGGGTCCTCAGCTAGCTATCCAGAAACTTTCAGCACAATTCCCATATATAGGTTTAGTTCACTTCTTTTGCATACTGATTATCTTAAGTTAGACATGTTTTCTTACAGACAACAAGCTATTCATACACAATCAGTAGCATGTATTATAGAATGCAGTCAAAGAGGGAATTCAAAAATCCAATTTGTTGTTGCATAGTTTGGGTATAAATTGTACATTAATTCCATAGTAAACGAAGGACTAATGCAATGACTGTGTCTGTCTTTACAGGTGTAGGCACTGATGACAGACTAGAGCACATTTAAGCTGTTTGACTTTTAAATGATATTCAAAATACATTATGGAAAGGTGAGATTTTTCCATAAGGAACTCTGAACTAATGGTTTTAGTCTTCCTGTAGAGTATTAATAAGAACCACATGGTCAAGCATCACACTGAAACAAGTTAAAATGATAAAACATATTATAGACAATTCATCATTTGCCAAATGCCCTACAATTACTGACACACCTTAGGTGTCACACTCCTAAACAAGGATAGCAACCACCCCATGTTTGTAACATGAAGGATAATGATCTCTAATGTGAGCAGTAGTTATATTCTCACACACGCAAATCCGTGGGCTTCTCTAAGAAATATGTTTACTATTAACCTACGTAAGACTAGGGCGCTCAAGCTCATGTTAAATAATTATTACAAAATGGTATCTTCCCTAACTAGGTACAGATTGATGGAAATATTTTATGTATCTAGAAGAGCTTTACAGGACAATTAGGTGCATATTAAACAATTCATTTCCTCTATCAGTGTTTGCATAGAACAAATATCTCCTATATGAAGTCAGAGAAAACTGAGAGGAAAAGAGAAAAAAAGCAGGTGCTAGAAAGTGAAGATCTGGGTTATTACTCTCAACTCTGGCATTAGTCATGTGTCTTTGAATTATGATTCAGTTTCCCTAGAACCCCATTTTTTTCTGTACAATGCGAATTTAGGGTAATTGACTAAGGGATGGATCTCGGTTTTAAAAAGTTCAGCTTCAGGATAGTAACGTGACTGCTATTAAAATAGCCTATTATCTGTACAACACTGACCAACAGCGGATACGTACACAACATGCCTCCACTACCAAGAATTAGCAGGTAAGTCTGCTAAAATCATAGCATTGCAATATAAGGTAGTATGGAATTAAGAATCAAAATTACCTAACCATGTAAGAAAAAGGAACACAAGGCATAAGAATTGTAAAACTGTCTCTATGACATGGTTTTTCATGGAGAAAATCCTTAAGACTCCACCCCAAATAACTTTGAATCAACAAATTCCATAAAGTTGCAGAACACAAAATACACATCAGTAGCATTGCTCTAGATGCTAATACTGAATTAGCTATGGGGAAAAATCCCATTCACAATACCTGGAAGCAAATTTAGCCAGGGAATTCAAGGATTGCTATAGTAAAAACTAAAGACACTAATGAAAAAAATTGAGAGAAGTGCATATTGTTAAAGTGTCCATACTGCTCAGTACCATCTATAGAGTCAATGTAATCTCTATCAAGATTCTAATGACAATTTTTTGCAAAAGCAGAAAAAAGCAATCCTGAAATTTATATGAAACACAAGACATGGAATAGGCAAAGCGATCCTGAGAAAGAACAAAGAGGAGAGCCTCACACATTCTGATTTTAGGCTATATTATAAACATAATTCACTACACTTAAGTCTTGTATTTTGATAACACTTAAAATTTGCTATATTTCAAATCCTATCCTTCTAATAAAACTGTATATTATATAACAAGGATACATTTTACATCTGTACCAACATAGCAGGTATTGGGAGTTGGTCCCACTCAGGAGCTTATTCTTCCAGATGACCATTAGATTAATCTGGATAAAAACAGATACTGAGCAAAGTTATAGATGAAAATCTTGGAACACACTTAAGCATCAGTTTGGTACAATGTGTTCAAATGTCATGAAAACCATGCTTCTTACTGAAAAAATGTAGTTTTCCATTGCAGCAAGTCTGAACTGTTACATGATTCCTGAGTGCTGGAAATGAACAATCCCCTGTTAGATTACAAGTGAAAGAAAACCACTATCTAGAATCTCTACAAATTTCCATATGAAGATGGAAGAAACCACTAGCGTAAGTAGGAGGTGGAGCAAATCAATAAATAAAGAATGCTAACTTAAAAATTGAGATAATTGACATTGGGCTAACCATAGTAATGTATAATTCACAAAGATGGACTTTATAATCCCCAAGCTTTATATCACAATAAAACAAAGAAAATGATGAATTGAGAGAAGATGTAAGCTGGAGAGGGTAAGTTGGGTCTATACTGAAATTGAAGAATGGGCAAAGTAGATGAAAATGATGGGACTCCCAGTCACAAGGTGGACACAGAGTATTTAGTGTAACATTGATGTGTCCATGATAAAAACTAATAAGTAACATTTAGGTGGACTATTCATGGGCAAATGTATCTGTGGGATAAAATCCT